CACCAATAAAACGTGTAATGCAACTATGTTTTGTCAGGAATCATGCGAAAAACCGCACACATGAAACACCGCAATGTTATACAACCTAAAAAAATTGCGGTAGACAAGAAACAAGAAATTAAGTCCACGGCAGTACCAATAGGATCTATGTGGCAGCTGACTGTAGAAGAATTATTTCTATTGTAGGTGACCCAGGGAGTTTTATCACAGGTGTTCGTAACACCTTATAACGCAAAAGAGGAAAGCAGAAGATGAATTCGATGAGGCTATTTCTGCCTTACCCATTGGTTGTCCAGGTCCTTCCGTTTAGAACAAAGCCATCGATAAGACAAATAAGAGCACTCGGGTTGGGGGTGAAGATTAAATGATAACAGATATTTAAAAACGTTATATATAAAAAAAAGGACGTTTGTGTACGAATATATTTTTAATGAACATGTCACTAAAAGAAAAACCCCTTTTAACTAACATATACCCACTACAATAGAGAACGTAAAATGAATGACTAAGGTTGACAAAGGCTCGCAAGTTTTGGTCTTACCTTAAAGCTCGTTAAATTTAAATTTGAAGTTACGTAAAATCAATAAGGTTAAAGGGAATTACAATTTCCTTTACAGGGTAATAATCAATCTAGAATGAATATCTAAGAACAAGTATCAATAAAATATATGAATGACACTCGGTTAAATAATAAGATTGCGCTGTTCCAGTTTAATGATGCATTTGGCGAGTTGGACGTTATTTTAGGAACTGACACTTTGCCGCAATTAAATATATGTATAATGGTGGTAACATATAAATAAGAGGAGGATGAAGCTGCCTTGTGAAATATGCAAAACGAGGAAGATCAGTTTGAAAATGTAAACTTTAATGATGGAAATATAGATATCACCGACTAGTCCCCTTTTGGATCTGACGAGGATCAACAAAATTTTATGGCAATAGTAAAGCTCCAAATTATAAAGAATAATGATACCAGCTGGTTTAATTTGTACTATCCCAAAACGTACACTTGACATTAATACAAGAACGGAGCTACAAGCTATCAATGACACTATCTTATCCCAAGTGCACAGATTGCGGTTTTTAGGTTGATAAGTAATTCTTGAGCCTTGAGATCACAGAATAAACTGATATCTTTTTTAAGAAGATAGGTAAAAGATACGTAACGCTTGAAGTAGTTAGCTATAATTCTTTTTTCAATATTAGTCAGGCCGAGAAAAACGTGGATGTCCAGCATACAAGAGAGGTCTTTCCAATTTTCGATTGATTGGTCTTTTTTAGAATTCGTAGGTATTTTGAGAGGAGCTAATAACAAATCATTGAAATTGAACACTAGTAACATCAACTTCACACTTTTCTAGTAGGGTTAGACGAGCATGTTAAGTTTTTGAATCACCAGACGTACAAGATTAATGCGTTATTGAGAAGTGATAGAATAAATTAAAATTTCATAACCATATAGCACAACAAATGAACTTAGATACTCTAGAAGTGCATCATTAATCAGCGCGTCGAAGGACCCAGCGGTATTGTCGAGACATAATGGCATCACCGTATATTGGAAATATCATAGCGAGTATGAAAGTCCGTTTTACACTCATGACCTGGGGCATTGCGTGGCTGACTGTAGGCACCAAGCTTATTTAATTTGGTAAACATTTTACCAGAATATAATTCGTCAAGCGGATCTGTGATCAAGGGTAATATACTGCGGTTAGGTACAATTCACTACAAGTCGAAGAGTGCAGTCTTTCTTTTCTACAGATAACACCAGGCTATTTGCCCGAAATTTAGATTGTTCGATGAATCCTTTTTCAAGATTTTCTTGCAAGTAGTTGTATAGTCTCTCCAGCCTTATTTGTGATAGGTTGAACAATGGTCAGAAGCTTACTTCACTTCCGTGCTTAAGCGGGATTATGTAATCATAGAGGCTATAGGGCGGAAGTTGATCAGGGTCTGATTTTGAAAATACAATATTAAAGTCATCCTATTTCGTAGGTATGGCAGGTGCCGATTAAGACAAGGTTGGGCTAATTTGGGTTAAACTTGCAAAATTATCAGGTCTAGGATCAGGTAGACGTTGGTTTATATCAGGCATGATGAGTATGATCTGAGACTCGTATTCGGGTAGAGTTTGGTTAACTTTAGATATTTAAAGGAAAACTTGCGATTGTAATCTGTATATACTTGGTCGAGCTTGAATGATATATGATTGCGTTTCGGATGAACAAGATTTGGGTTGAGGAATTGTTGTGATAGCTGGATAACGCTGAATTAGTGAGGCTGCAGTAGCTTGATGTTGATGCGGTTGATGTTCAGTTGTAACCGGAGAATATGAATTAGTCAGAGAATTCTCCGTACTAGCTATGACGCATAATTTTGTCAAATAGGATACAGATATATGGTATTATTTTGTATCTACACTAGTTAATTTATCGGGACCACAAAATTCAAATGACAATTAATTTTACAACAGATGGAAGGATCAACTTTATCACAATCATTGCCGAAAATGGCTTCAAAATTGGTGGTACAAAGAGCGGAGAGTTGGGGTTATTGCTTTTCAAGAGGGTATGCGCGTACAGTCACGTTTTCGACGTTTTCTCTACACCGTGGCTTGATACAAGTAAAAGCAACAATGTCATCACGCCAAAATATTGCCCAGTTGTGTTATTGAATCCAGTTTTATTCTAGAAAAAGTGGGTACGCGCAGGTTTGAAGATGGCGCAATGCCAATGTCTCACTGAAGCTGATGTCACAAATGTTTAACAAGGAATTACAGGGATCGAACGCAACATGTTCCGATGAGTCCGCCAAACGATGACTGGTACCATAAGCTTTGAAGGAATGAAGTTGGTTTTGCTTAAATAGGGATCAAGAGATGAAGGTACCAGAACTTCCAGAATCGATGGGTGCGGTGATTTCAATAAAAGTGTCATGGGATTCTAGGAAAATTGGAGCTATAACGAGAGGCTGTTCTTCGCTTTCAACAACGTATTTGGTGACATCCGTGATACAATGGTCAACTCTTTAACGACTTTTCTTGATTGATTCCTTATACACTGCTTCCATTTCGGCAGGTGATCTCTTGACTGGTGAAACATGATTTATTTACCTGGAAAGAACAAGAATAATTGCAGCAGTAAAATATTTGAATGGAACGACCTCCATATGTTTATCATCCATCAAAACAGTTGAGATGGAGGCGCCATGAATGGTGTTTAGGCAAGACGCAGCGATATGACCAGGCATGGCATAGTAGACACACAGATTTAACCTTCTACGTCTATCATTTTTGTCTTGAGCAAGTCGACCACGAGTAAGAAAACTATTATTGGGAGTCGAAATGGATCTGAGATCTATTGGGTTACTTCAGCTTTTGACACATATCTTGTCTGGAATAGGCGGAATTTGTGCTTATTGCCAGCGAAAATGTAATTATTAATATGGATGCTAGCATTCTTTAAATCGTTTAATTCTTTGATGGAAACACGAAGTGCAAGTTAATCATCAATAGAATCTTTCAAATTTAAAAGATATTGCGATACAAGCGGATCATTGTTCCAAGAATGTATTATTGATAGTCTTCTAAATTCAAGGCGTAGACAGCAGCGGAGCTAGTGTGTTTCAAATTTCAGAAAGTGCCTTTGAATTTTGCGGTTGCATTAAAGCCATTGAAACCCGAGAACAAGAGGCTGGTAAACCTTGCCAATGTGTCAATATGTCGGGATCGTTCGAAGGATCTATATCAGTAGTGAATGATAATACGTAATTTAAGCAGTGCAGAACGTTATTATCATTATTATCAAGTATTTATATGTGTCAACGACCAAAGCCACTTGAAGTTGCGTGAAGAAAAGAACGATGTAATACGATTGATCACTGAAAGGCTCTTGTGCCTTCATACAAATAACCATGTTGGAATTAAAATTGTTGGTCTTGAATACAAATTATTCCGCAATGTATGAGTGGATTTCAGCACCTAAATTGGATAGTTGCGGTTGAATTGCGCACTAAACACGGTGTGGGAAGAATGAGCTCAATAAAAGCGATATTATTGGAAGAACCAGGCTGGGTGGTAACGTGTGGTACCACTTCGTCTTCCAAAACGAAAACAGGTCAAAGAAGATTTATCGTGGCTTCAAACTGTTAAGCTGTAAGTTCAAGCATGATAGTAATATAGTAAAGATACAGATAAACACATTTCAAAAAAAGAGGAGTACGCAAGAAGAAAGATACCAAGAGCATAAGTAATAAGCGAGCAAGAGAAGAGACAAAGCCATAATAAGCAAACGTTTTTAATACAATAGAAAGCCATGAGCGGGACGGCGAAAGGGCAAAACGGAATGTTTATTTTGACAAGAACAGGAAGGGCAGAAATTATATGTGTATTAGTATTAATACACGTATAAAAGGAAATGGACGTAGAAAAGTATTTATGCGAAGAAGGCAGGAAATATAGATAATATCTTGAATAGAGAAATAAAAGTAAATAAACATAATCTAGTGCTGACGCAAAATGCTGGGATGAATATACAGCAGGTGTTTACATAGTTACAAAAGATTAGGGAAACGTTCGTTTTTTTCTTGGTAATGAAGGACTACAAAAATGCCTGATAATAGGAATATGCTATTATATTTCCTAATTGTTTGTTTTGCGGAATTGTCTTACTTTTACTTTTTGTATTTGATTATTATCCGAATTGATCAAATTTGTGATATCATAAGAAGGGTCTTAAAAAAAACTATCAGTCCAAATATTACGTCTTGATAATTTAAATTACTACATTACCAATGCCCAAATACGCCAAAAGTATTTTTGGTGGGAGTTGGTTTCAAAATAGTTTACAAACACGATATAATTCTCTTCCAGTGAATTTTTAAACAAGATGAAAATGGTGTTAAATAGCTCAACCATGTTCGGCAATTAACAACCGTCTTGGTCTTGTCCGCTTGTAACAGCAGGAAGCCTCTTTCTATGGTTCGCTCATTTCCGTCTACTGGCAACACATTGGATACTTGAACGGTACCCACAAATTATTTCGGATGGCCTGGGTCGGTAAATTATTACTATTGGAAATACGTTTAAAAGCAGCGAAGCAGTCTTCTGTTAATTTTTTGTAATTTGGCGCAGTATTGTCAATAAATTCCCTTGGGCCACCCAAACAATTGATGTAAAATATTGATTCGTTAGTTTGAATAAAAAATTTCAGTTCTTCTGTAGTTTTTTCCGAAATACCATCTCTATTCAGCCACAAACCGCCTTCAAGAACATGCACCATCATAGATTGTTCAGAAAATTTCAGCTCAACGTCTTTGGAAGGTCTTTGGTTTATTGGTGTAGGTGATATGATCCGTAATGTTTTTACTGAAATGTTCTTCTTTTTGTGTTTCATGATACAACTATGTTCGAAAACGATGTATATGTTCCGGAATGTATGTCAATAAATGAACTTTGACTGTTTCTACATATGCATTATGACCAGGAATATTACAATTCAGATCCTAGTAAGCATTGATAAAATCCTTGATGCCGATTTGACAGATGTTATGTATTTGTTCAGATCGGCTTTTATCCCCCTTACAGATAGTAATGAGCACAGCTTTCCGAGGTAAAAAAAATAGTTGTAATATTCTTCAATACTACCTCATCAACAAAATACGTCGCAGGCATAATATAAATAATTTGGACAAGTGCTTAAAAGTCTCTTCCTAAAAAAAGAACCTCAATGCCTCAACTTGGGTGTGAATTCTCTTGACATGCCCAAGCTACCTTTTTGACACTGACCAATGGTTTCTGAAACTCTGTTTTATATTACGGTTTGATTTTCAATACTGTCTTTACTAGATCAACGACCAAATATTTACTGATTTCAAGCAAATCGCGTGAAGAACCTCCACCGGAGTGTCTTTTGCCGGATTGTATGCTTGCAATTATAATACTTTGTCAGTCTTTTTATCCTTATAACATAGATATTTTGCAGAAAAACGTTCGCCGGTCTCGGGTGCATTATGTCGGGTCATGCACGCGTGTCGTTACAGATTTTTTTATAAAACAATGTTGGACTAATGTGTAAAAGCTGGTGTTCGAACTTTTCGAGCTTGCACCGACCTTGCGCCAGTTCGAAGGAAGCTCGAACCGAGTTTTTGTACTCGAGCTGCAGAAAAACGCATCCGAGCGAGCTTCGATCTTCATTCCGAACACTAGTAAAAGCTATTCGTATTCAGTCTTTGTTCTTCTAGTTTTTATAGATTCAACAAAAAGGCTTATGAAATTCATCGAGTACGGTAACTATGCAATGTAATTTTCATTCGTAAGCAGCTATTTATTTTTTTACAAAGTATATTTTGGGTGTTTTTTGTGGTTTATCAAATATGGTAACTATGCGATAAAAATGTTTTACTGGTAGGAACCTATTAATTTTATGACAGAATAAATAATGCCGTTGCAAGAAACCTATTGAACATTAAATCGAGGTAATATTGGTTTACATTCAGACTAAATTGTTTATTAAGAACTATTATCTTTTTGATCATAGCTACATAACTTTGTTTTCCATATTCTCTGAAAGATACGTTTCTTCAATTGGCCAATGTAATCCCATAAACGGTGAGTTCTATGATATACGCAATAGCATTATGGGAATTCTGAAGTTGAACACTATTTGTAGACAGTCTGGGCCTCTATTTAAACTAAGTACGATAGGCTTTCGACATCTGCTAAAGGATTATGTACTGTATTATATATTACATTTTAAAAATAAAAGCACTGTTATTTTAATCCTGAAACAAGTTCAAAAAAAAATACTTAAAATACGACTTCCATAAACGTCAACCAGAATGTTCCTTACACAAAGGCAATTTTTATTTTTAGAAAAAAACAAAAACATCTTTAGTGCTGTTAGCTAGCTTGTACGACATTTATTTCTTTAAATTTGATTTTTGTTATCGTTTAATCGACTGTTTCCAGTCATATTTCTTATATGATATTTATTTTATTAGAAAAAATGTAAAAAACAAAAAATACTTAACCTTACAATTGATTGTTGTCAGGTGAGACAATAATGTTTTCCAAGGAAGATGTTGTGTCCTTAATAAACTTCAACAGAGCTTCCTGGTTGATATTGCTAGCATTGTTTTGTTTTTTCGCAACCAATAACAGCTCCGTTAATTTTTCTAACGCATCACCGACTTCATTATCGGGTCTATCAGAATTTGTCGAAGCTTCCTCGGAAATCATGGTTGTTTCGTGAGTGCTAGGCTTCTCAGATCTTTCTTCTGAAACTTCTAAAACTGCAGGTGCTTGCTTTCGGGCTCCTGCTGTTTTATGTAAACCAAGATTTTTCTGCAAGTTTTCTCCTCTATAGTCTATTTCTAACACCTGGGTAACCAAATACACCACCCGATCCACTCTTGCGCTGCCGGATTTACCTAAATAAAGAGATTTTAACGCAGAGTGGTACGCCTCCATCATGTTGTTGGTATGAAATGAGACGTCCTGAAATAGAAAACATTAGCCCAAGTATTACATTTCATTAGTTTGATAAATTGTCATACCAATCTCCACGCTAAAGCCCAGTTCTTTTTTTTAGGCAACCAGGATGTTTCCAAATATTCAACGAAATCGCTATAATTCGTTTCATACAAGGTTTTAAATGTAGACCAGATTTTGTTGAATTGTTCTTCTGACTTGGCATTAAGAAGTGATTTTAATTCAGCTCTGAATGTGGTGTGGATATCACCGGTATCATTTGTTGCCTGACGAACCTGAATTCACAAACAAAGAACAGGGTCAATTACTTTATCTATCTCGATAATTCATTATAAAATAAGAGTTTACCTTCTTAATGCGTCTGTCCCAGTCTTTCTGAACATGCCAATGGCATAGCAAGACAGAAACAGTGCTTCCAAAAACTGTTTGAATGGCAATTTGTTCACTCGTGCTACAATCGATCATTATTCTATTTACTTTCAACTGGTTCTTTTCGTTCAACCATCGCAACCATGTCGTCAATACATCTGATGACTCGTCACTGGTAATCAAAAATGCTGCTGGTATGCCTTTGTTTGTGGTAGCGTTACGCACAACAATAGTAAAGAAATAGCAATATTTATCTCCGTGCAAGAAGGACTTGCATGTTTTATATGTCGAATCTAAGCACCATTCATATGAGGATGCTAAAAACTAAAAGAAAATTTTAAAATTGAGTGATAAATTTTAAACAACCAGTCAGAGAACATGTACCTCCTTTTGATATGGGGAGACCCAAGCTACCATTATACGCCCGCCTTCTTGATCAACATCCAAAAATGTTTGATAATCGTTACTGCGTAGATAATCCATCCATAGATCTACGCTGATTTTGTCTGATTCATTTTTTTTGTACTTCTTCTGAAGTCTGTCATAAATTACGTTTTGAACCGCTCTATGATTGACTAACATTGACATGGGTACACCTGGAAAATTGTCATTTTTTTCAATCTTTGAGGAAACTGATAAGTAAATTATTATTTAAAAAGCATCCGTATAACACTTACGTTATCCATCTGTTCATGGCTTAATCTCAGAAGGGGCTTAATGGCTTTCCAATCCATGTTGTTGTCAACATGAGTGGCAATCCAATCCCGAGCATCTTTGGGTAGTCTTGACTGGCCAATGTCAAAAGTACTTACGGGATTATGATTTTTATGGGCCCAAGAATACGAGACCTCTACCTGGCCGTTTAGCATTTCTTTGTACCTGAATTTGGCGGTACAGCCAACCTTGATCGACGGACCAGAAATACGGGACTTTTTGACCGGTCTGTCATCGCTATTTGTAAGCTTGGTATGACTGCGTGGCTTTCCGGCATGATCACAAACGAAACATTTGACAATTTTGATTGTTCTGGCTTCATCAATTGTTTCGCCAGGAACGACACTTTTTCTGGATCCGTAACTATGCGAAAGAACCCAGTTTCCGTGATGCTTAGGGCCGCTTGCAAACCACAAGTCATACTCGGCTACTGATCCCTTAAATTGGATCACCTCATCGACGTAATTGGGCAACTCCCTGCAAATATATTCTTCAGTTAAAACAATTTTTTGATTTGACATTTTGTGTTGCTAATCTATTTAGATGATTAAAAAGATGTGTTGAAAACAATGATCAACTCCAGTCGCACTTTCTATTTTTAAATGAACAAAAATTTCGAAAGTTTGTCCTCCGTGGACGATGATGATTGGTCCCCGGTCCTCGGAATTTGACCTGCAATACGTTCCGGTATTTTGGACCTCCGTTCCATAATCGAAGAATTATCCTTTTTTTTTTTTTTTTTTTTTTTTTTTAAAAAAAAAAAAAAACCATGCCATACAGGCTATGTACATTAAAAAATATCTAGATTTTTTAATTATTCTGTTTTATTATAATGATGCTAGTTCTGATGACTACTATAAAATAAATACTGAGATTTTATTTTGTTGAAAGTGTCGATCCTACATTATTATATGTACTGATTTATAAAATTAATTTAAATAATAGCATTAATATGAAATTTTGCTGTTTCATCCTTCTGTCCACTTTAGACATCTAAAATTTGGTTATGTAAAGAACCCTTTTTATTTGCTTAATGAAGCCTTAGTTAATGTCCGCAACGTTAAGTAGTTTTTTTTTGAGTTTTCAAACAAAGAATATTATGACAGGTGCGAACTCATTAGTGAAAACCCGCAACATGTGAATATAATACACAACCATCGATATGTTATTTCTGATTTCATTTTTCCTTCATTTCATCAATGTTTACAACGCAAATCAGGTTCAGGTCAAGTTTTTTTGGTCAATGTTGGTTACATGTAAAACCTGAGACTATAAAAATTGTCTGAGAGAAACCCACATCTTCGGATTTAAAAACAAATCCTGAAAGATTAGCTTGGCACATTCTGTCTCCTTGAATTTGAGAGAGAATGTTGTTCAGACTATCAATCATTTATTGCCCGATGTTCCTTCTAATTTAGACACCGAGATCACTGACATCAGTCAGCTGGATTTGGATTCTGCCTAGATGTTTTTCATCGATACCAATGGGATTGTGATGATCGGAGATAAGGAAATCCCAATGATACCTTAACCAAAAATATACGTTGATATCGATGATAGTAAAAGAAGATTTTGGTTTAAGATGTACCTTTGGATGACCTAAACAAACAGTTCCATAGACGTGCACGAATGAGATTGGCCGAATATCTTGCTGCAGTAAAAAGTTTGAAAGAACAAGCTGGTATTCGTCGCTTCCCCTGATAAAAAATCTATTTCTTATGTCTTAAACGAATTTGAAATTTAATGACATGGAATAGATTTTTTTTTATTGACTGGCAAAAAAAAAAAGAAACGAATACCGATAAAAACACCCGAAAATGGTACAACCCCGTTTGATGTAATGGTACGTGGAACCGGAATCTGATCCTTAAGGAAAATAGTTTATTGGCGCTAAAGCCTGGTGCAGAGCGTGTTTTTCAAATATTCCTAAATCGAGAAACTACCGTATCATATAAGCATTACGTCTCACAAACTGAGAACATCAATGCCGTCAGAGAATCAAGAGCGTTCACAATTTGTTTAGTACACAAATAAAAAAAATGATCTACTTCTGTCTAAAATCACAAAGTCACGTAGATATGATGTTGTCGTAAAGCGGAAAATTGAGATGAACCAGTATACGTACCTGGCACATGTCGTATTTAATTATTAGAGTGATGTATCATAAAGTAGTATGATTATGAACCAACCCATTTATGTCGTATACTTAACTGTATCTTGCAACAAATACCGTCTTTCTCCAATACATTTGTTACGCAAAAAAACGTCAAAATCTTTATTTCTAAGGTGAACCCGTTAGAAGAAATCGTTGTAAAAACAAGCCATATAAACAGAAATACACTCGTTTTCAAAAACAAAGCTACATTAGCTAAACAGTTGCTCCATTTTTTAGTGTAACAAATAATTTTATTTCCGCGATTACATTGTTTAGACAGTGTTCCTCTGTGCAACACATTTACAAAATGTAAACGGCGTTATTACAAATTCTGGGTACATTCATGACTATGACTTAAGCCACACTTTAAAGTCATCCTGCATAGGAAGATAGGCGTAGTCGCTGTTTGAATGTCTAGCTGTTTCGACAGCTTGACGAGTATCACAGACCAAAAAAGATATAAAACCCGCACTATCCCAGTTCTGAATATACTACAGGTCTAACCTTCGGTTCATATTGTAACATCTGATGCCAATTTAAAAAGAAATAGTTTCAAAAAGATTACGTAAGCAACATTCACATACTTTAAAGCTGTAATCGAAAAAAATAAAATCAAATGTAATCTTTTTCTCGTACAGTTCGCGATGAAAAATGTATCAAACCAAAAAATTGAGCTTTTTTTTTTTTTTTTTTTTTTTTTTTGTGGCTAGCTGAATTCTCAAGCAGTCTCAAACTGGAGACCGGATATTTTAGACAGCTAATTGTTTAAACAAAAAGACTATTCAATATTTTCATGAGGCAAAATACCGTCAAAATCGCGATGTGAACACCCTGGAAAGACATTGATCGAGGTCTAGCTTAGTGGCAGTCGTGGATGATAGACAAGCTTACTAAAAAAAAAAGTTCCATAGTTTATTTTTGTGGTTATGAAAAGATATAATACAACTTGAATCAATTTAATGTTGTTGATCAAACAAATAAAAACGAAAAAAAACAAGATGGATATAAAAACCCGGGTTTTTCTTATCAGACAGATATTATCGTAAAAGAAAAAAGAAAAAAAAGCTTGCTTTAGGTCTGGTATCGTGAACGATTTAAACGTAGTAAATGTAACGACAATTACTTTTTCCCTGACTTTACATAGACCAATTTTTGTATTTTGTGAAGAAGGTATGTGTCAAACAAAATACATTTCAGACATTATCAATTATAGTAAGATTTTTTTTGCCGTTCGTATATTGGCTTAAAAGGAACAGTTTTGACTGTTATCTGATGCAAAACATTAATGTAGCTCTTTTTTGTTAAGTAATTTTGCCTTATCATGCACTAATTCACCACTCAATTCCCTATATTATTTGTATTTCCCCCAATTACTAAAGTAAGAGCAATCCATTTCTATTGATTTTATAGCACGGTAAATTAAGACCAAATCAATAATTTGACTAAAACTTTCAATCAGCAAGTGGTCTTCAAAGAGACAAATAAATGACCCGATAACATTTTAAAATGAATGTACTTTATTTTCTGCGAGTGTATCTATAGCATTTTGATCGACCTGGAATGATCTGCCTCAACCGTATGTGTGAGTTAGTAATTAATCGATGTATGGGCAGCTCTTATTTTATTCCGATTCTATCCAAGATTGTGATGGGAGCGGCGTCTGGACTTGATTTGAACACGTTCATATCAAGTTTTTTGTTGTGTATTTAATTTTTAGCTGGTCATCCAGTCTTAATGTCTGATGTGTTTGCCTTTTAAGCCGTGCCCATTATTATCATTAAGGTGGTTCAATATAAAGGAGAAAGACATTTGTTGGGTCGAATTAAAGCAGAAATATTGCTGAACGTCGTTATCTATAGATACGGAAAATTAATTCCAGTGTCTTGTTGTTCTTGTCGCTTGTTTTCTTGTTGAATGATTACACACTAGTCTTCAAAAGTGATTTCCCAAACGTTGAAGAGGTTGGATATATGACTGAGATGTAACTGAAGTCATTTTATGTCATTAAGTCCGCCATGGGTATATATTGCCTACAGTGAAAAAAGTGCCATGGATTAAAAAATAAACGCTGTGTTTACATCAAGCAGAAAATACCAAATAATGACAATCATATCAACTGAGCATGTAAGATCTTTTTAAAAATGGCAGTAGTGTACATTAGCGTTTCGGCTTTTAAGAATGACACATGGGTGACTTAACTTAACAGAGTCTTTCTACTTTTGCCATGGCTTCAGATAAAAAAGATTTAAAAAAACTTAAATTATTATTGGAAGACAGCCTCATGTCCTGTTATGATCTGCCTTTTTATGTGCGTGAGCTTTTCGCATTACAAATCTTTTTGCTTTTTTTTTCTTGTCGTTCAATCTTGCAAATCAAGTATGGGATAAAATTGAATATCATACTACTGTCAAAAACGAGTTCATCAGGCAATTATGCAATCATGAGAGCGTGCTTTTTATTTATTTACAATTTCCGTTTAAGCCTTCCAAAGTATAAAATGTCTTCTGCCTATTGTTAGGGTCTTACGCCTGTTGACCTGTTTACTGAATTGTCATTTCCTGGATGTTAGAACCGACAGCTTCAATTTTATACCCTCAAACGTAAATGGGCCTCAAAAGGTGTACGTATCCTGATGATAGAGATTATGACAGTTATGATAGGAAAGCAAACACTGAATTGAAATTAAACGTAATAGAATAGTCCGGGAACCAATGAGAATAGATAAGCATTAAATTTTATTAAGCGCTATTGTAAAATAAGATGGTTGTATTAGTTAAGAGTTACTAGGCCGTAAAAGTGAGGAAATCGACCAAAGAGAACAAAAACTAATAAGAGCAAAAGGTCTCAAAGTAGTGACAAGACCGAATATACGAGGAATTCACAAAAAAAAAAAGGTGTTTTTCTGATCAGGTACCCTACAATAGGGTGCAAATTTACGATTTATTGCATAAAATAAAACTGGTTACTCGGCCAAAACGTTTTTTGCAAAAAGAAAAAAAAAATCAGGTATGAATTGATAGATGGAATGAAAAGGTAAGAGAATAAAAAATTAAGGCTCAAAATGTTTTTGCAGTACGCTGCCAGAAACAAAAATGTATGGAAGCTATTGGTTTATTCTTTAAAACTGGAAGATGAGACATGTGGAAAGGAAAGGGGGATTTTTAAGTTGGTTTATAGATCACTTACCTTGAATGTTCTTTATTCAATCGGATTAAAATATGTCTAAATATGGTTCTCAGATTGCATATATGAGCCAAAATTTGAAATGGTTTATCATCAGCATGTAAAAAAAAAGGAAACTCTATGTAATACTTTTTAAGATATAGTTTTATTTTTGTCTCTTTGGATCAGAGTCCTGAAAGGGACTTGTACGTCTTAAGGACAGTGAATGTTGCTCGGTATCACCTTCATTTACGGAAGAAGCGAGTTCTTCGGTATAATTTAGATCCAATGGGACAAGAATAGAATGGATTTGTGTAATCCAATCGGGATGGAAGGCGCAGCTTTTCAATTTTTTCAGTATCGGGATATCTTGCTGGAAATAGTTGAGTTCTTTTGCCCATGTTTGTTTATGGAACTTGATTATTTTATCACAACTGTATTTTGACAGTAGTCCAAATCCACTAAACTTGAAAATCCTCAGCACGTCTATCCCTCTACGGCCTAGAATTATTATTTTTGAATGCTTACTTATGGAATTACAGTAGGCGTCTTGGCGAGCTCTCAACTGGTCTGCTTCATCCAGGGCTTCATATTTTTTAGTGTAGATGATTGCGGATATCCACCTTACAATATTTGCTCCCAATATTTGGCCTTTCGATTTATCGTACATATGTAAAGCTTGATTACAATCAATGACTCGAAGTGCAATAGTGGTGAGAGAAATGGATACTGGAGGTTCTGCAGCAAAAAACCTTATGGCCTCCTCAACAATGGAAAAATCATCAATTCTTTTGGTCACAACCACCGCAACAGATTTGGTTACTGCTGTCTCATCTAAAGCGCAACTATTATTATCAACAGTTTCAGTAGTATCAATATTGACAAAAGTGGCATCGTGTGTAGTGGTAGTAGATTTATAGGCAGGCGTAGGGTCAGGCGTGGGGGCTGGTGTTAAGGATGGTGAAGATGGTGAGGCGGTAGCATTGGTGAGAGTTGAAACGGTAGATGCAAGGACGGGTGTAACCTCCGATAGGACAGTCATCGATGTGTTAGGATTGGAAGTATCAGAGGGTAAGTGATTAGCAGCGTCAAAAAGGTTATTAGAAACCTGTAGAGGTGATGAAAATGATACGGCTCTTTCTCCTAGTAAGAAGAATTAATATTACAAAACAAAACCCCGGTTATTATAATTACTTCGCTTCATCTCACTATCGATCACTTCATCATAAAGAGCCTTTTCGTCGTGTCTAAAAAATTGCAATATCGTTTTCAAACCAATTTGTTTTAGTATTTGCTGTACGTCAACGGGAATAGAGCTCATCTATTGAGCTGTTAAAATCTGTTACTACTTTCGTTTTTGTTTTTTAATTTTTACCCTTAAAATTTTGATATTATGTATGAAGAAGAGACCGTTATTATTTTAGTCCGTCTTCTTTTTTACATCTGCAGAGTTCTCGGCCTACGTTACAAGTCCGCTTGTCCAAGAATGTTTCATAAGAGAAAGCGTGGATTATTGTTATAACACAAGTCTCCTTGGTCATTTCTCGTTTAACGAGACATGGCAGTAGTTTAATATAAGCAAGAACAAAAACCACATTAGAATCAGTAATTGCTAAAAAGTTATTTAACATCTTGTGACTAGACTTTTACCTCGCCAGTTTGCTGAAATGGAATCAGGAGAAATATTTTATGATGTTTCAGGATATTTATAGATATATACATATACATATAATAAAGGAACAAAAAACAAATAATTAGATATGAGTCCCTATTAAATCTTTCTCAATGGTATAGACACAAGTTCATTGCAAAAAGGCATTATATTTTCTATATCGAAACGTCAGAGAGAATGAATTTTGTAAATACTGGAGAGACGATTCTTTATCTTCCGAAACATGCCAATTAGACGTACATCAATTTAGTTAAATTAATGTTTTAAAACATTGAAACATTACTTCTGTAACAAATTGATGTGG